GAAGAAAAAAAAAAACAGGAAGGACCAATGCATTCAGAGCTCCTTAGGAAAGCTCAGAGGAAGCCACTGAGCAGCTCTGGCAGGAGAGAGTAGGATGACAGGGGTATTAAGGAAGGCTTCCTGGTGGTGACACCCAGCTGAGGCTTCAGGGCCAGAAGGAGGAGATCAGGTAGACATGGCAGGAGAAGCATTCCTGGCAGGGAACCGCATATTCAAAAGGCACGAGGGAGCAAAACTTGGCAGTGTATCCATTTGGCCAGAACAAAGTGAGGGGGGTGGGAAGAAGGGAGCCAAGGGGAGGCCTGGAAGGGGGAGAAGGGCTTCCACATTCAGCAAATGCTGGTGTTCAGCCGCAACACTTCAGAGTAGATGCTGCTGCCATTCCCCTTTTTTGCAGATGTGGAAAAGAGCTCAGAGAAGTTAGGTAACTAGCCAAGACCACACAGCCACAGAGCTGGGACTCAAGCTCAGCCTGTCTAGTTACAGAGCCAGTGCTCTGAATCACTCAGCACACGCGCCCCCTTCCCCAGCTCCTCGAAGGTAGTGCCTGAGGGCATAAGAGAAACCCCCCTGGGTCCCCGGCTGCTGGCTTCCCCTCCTCACCCCTGGGAAGATCACAAGCGTGGGACATTCAGCATGGATAGGGATGAGCTGATGGAGAACTCCCAGCAGCTGCCGGGAGGCCTGTCCCCACGCAGGGACGTGACTCTGAAGAGCTTCTGAGGCAACCAATGAGATGGGCTTGGCAGGAGCCTGTAAGGGTCAGAGACCAGGGAGGGCTTCCTGAGGAGGTAGAAGCATGAGAGCTGGCCTTGCAGCGCAGGGGACTGTACACATGGAGGAGGGAGGGTTCTCAAACGTGCCTGAGCAAAGGTGTCACAGTGTCTGGGGAGACCAGCTGGGCTGAGGCTGAGAGCTAGGTGGGGTTGGGGCTTGGAGGCTGTGGTCCAAGCTCGCTAGGGAGAAGCTCCTTGTCCTGCTGGCAGTGGGCAGCCATGTGGGAGTCTTGAAGCAGGAGCAGGTCCAAAGGAGGGAGGGGTCACTCTAAGAAGCTTTGGAGGTGACACGGAGGGACATCAGTGAATGTTACCCTCCACCGGTGAGTGGTAGGAGGGGTAGGCAGGAGGCCTCTGAGAGCATGCCTTTAGGTTGGTTGCATTCAGCAGGACTACAAAACCAAGGTCTGCCTTCTGGAGAGAAGCCAGGACAACCCAGGCTCTGAGGAGCGTGTCTTGCTTCTTCTTCTCTTTGTGAATCTTCCCAACCGCTTTTGCCCTGCCTTTCTGCGGGCCACCCACCTCCCAGGGTCACATCCTCCTGCCCCTTCATCTCCCCTCTTCCAAGGCCACAGGCCCTGGTGCCCGTGGACCATGCCTCCCAGGTCACAGGCCCCTCTGGTCTGGGAGCCCATCGAGAGGACAGGTGTGGAGGTCTGCTGACCTGCCTAGGCAGCAGTGGCCGGGCCAGGCCGGCATGTGGGGGAAGCGGCTGGCAAGTTCACTGCGATCACGGTCAGCCAGCAGCTCCATGGTCCGAGCAGCAGCAAACTCCAAAAACTTCCGCTTCCTCCTCGCTCCCATATGTCTGTGCCTGCAGAGTCCCCAAAGGGACTATGAGACCAGCCTGGCCAACATGGTGAAACCCCGTCTCTACTAAAAATACAAAAATTAACTGGGCGTGGTGGCAGGTGCCTCTAATCCCAGCTACTCGGGAGGCTAAGACAGGAGAATCGCTTGAACCTGGGAGGCGGAGGTTGCAGTGAGCTGAGATCGCATCACTGCACTCCATCCTGGGCAAGACTCCATATGGGGAAAAAAAAAAACATAAGGAAGAGAGCAGAGGACAGGGGATGCACGCAGAACTAAGGACTTGGGGAGCCACACACCAGGGCCCCGTGCACCCTGCCAAGCCACTCCAAGGGGAAAGACTGTATCTCTCCCCTTCACTCAGCCATCCACAAACATCCCACACACCCAAGTCCAGAACCCCAAGCAGGGAGGCAGCCCCTGGTGATGACTGCGCAGGGAGCTGAGCAACCACATGAGGGCAGTGGAGACGTGATCAGGACCGCACAGGATTTGGCCTTAGGATGGGGGTGGGCTGTGAGAAAATGGGGACGGGGTGAGGCCAGGGGGCCTTGGAGTAGGCAGAGGCTGGAGAGTGGTCACCTGTCCACACATTCCCCATTCATGTCACATGTGGTATTCGTCATCAATGCAAGCATTTGTTCCTTTATTCATTTCTTCACTTTGTTTCTTCTTGTAAGTCAGCCCCTCTTCCGTCCATCCTTCCTTCTTTCCTTCCTCTCTTCCTCACTCTGCTCTTCTCCTCCTTGTCCTTTTGGTTTGTCTGGCCAGGCGATCAACTGGACATACCGTCCTGAGCCACAGCTGGGTGCCAGCCCGAGAGAGGCACTCCTCTACGGGGTACAAGTGAGCCTTAACTCTTGCCCTTGAAGGGTTCAGGGCAGCAGGCCACGGTGCTGGGCTCCCCACAGATCTGGGCCTGGGGTTGGTGGGGCCTAAAAGGGCCTAAGTCACCCACAGGTTGCAAGTCCTGAGAAGCCTCAGTAAACACTAAAAACAGTAAACAGTACCCTGGCCAGGCAGACTGTGTGACCCGGTCCACCACTCTAAAAATAAATTCCAGGAAAACAGTACAGTCCCAGGTCCAGCAATGTCTGAGATTCAGGGACATTCCCTGCCGACTAGAGCCAATTTCTGTGGCCTGGTGACTAAGCTCCCTCTTGCAAGAGCGTAAGCATAGTGGGGGGTGGGGGGCTCGGGGGCAGTGAGGCTGGGGCAGATCGAATCCTGGCTGTGTCCTGCTGGCCTAAGACACCCCTCTGCCTCTCTCGGAGGTTCAGTTCCCAAATCTGTAAAATGAGGGGAAGCAGGTCATCTGCTTGGTTGACGTCATGGTCTGAGAGCTGAACAAAATTGCAATTGCACAGATGAGGTGTGATGGAGGGAGACAGCCTGGCTTTGGGGTCACACCTGGATCCAAATTCTAGTTCAGCCTCTTACTAGTTGTGGATCTTAGTCAACAACTTAGCCTCTCTGGGTCTCAGGCTCCTCATCTGTGAAATGGAGCTAAGAGTCCCTACCTCCTAGGGAACAGTGCCTACACGTGGCTTGCAATCCATTAATGGGTGCTGTTATTATTAGGAAATGTTCAGTGAAACTGTACAGCATGACAGACATCAAGTGTGTCATTACAGAGATTATCCCTATAGCAACCAAGGCCAAACGCCTCTGCCTGACTCTCGGCTCCCTCCACCCCCAGTCTGGCCCCACCTGCCTTCCAGCCTTGCCACCCAAGGCCTGATGACAGCAGTAGTGGGGAGGATGACGCTGACAGCTGATCCGAGGGGGTGGGGCCCCTCTCACCACTCCTTGGGGCAGGGAGCCCTGCTCAGGAGCTACCTGCCCAGCCCGGTGTCAAGTCACTGCCCAGCCCTATGGCAGTTTCGGGGAGGAAGGGGCACCTGGAAGGCAGAGCTGTCCTGGGGAGGCTCCTTCCCTCCAAGTGGGGCTCCATCCAGCCTGTGGACCACAGCCCGGAGCCAGGCAGAGGAGTCAAGGAGCTGGACTCTGCCTCTCCACGTAGTGACTCTTGCCCTGGCTGCCTCTTTAGACCACAGTGAGTTTAAAGGAGGTTGAAGGTGCATTTTCACCTGCCTGACTTGGAACTCCATAAGGGGTGATGTCATGACCAGCATAAATTGGGGGTAACCTAATG